GCAGTTTTAAGAATGCTTGATAAAGATCTTGTAGGTGTTTGTCTCTGTCTGAGGGACTGGAGCAAATGGCTTGGCTGTAAAGAATGGATCATGTGATGTGTCCTGGATGGAAGCTGGAGGGATGTAGGTAAGTAAGCTGTCAATAGGTTTCCAGTGTAGGTGTTTGTGACCATCACTTATTTGCACTGTAGTGTCCAGGAAGTGGATCTCTTGTGTGGACTGATCCAGGCTGAGGTTGATGGTGGGGTGGAAATTGTTGAAATCCAGGTGGAATTCTTCAAGAGCCTCCTTCCCATGGGTCCATATGATGAAGATGTCATCAATGTAGCACAAGTTAGAGGAGGGGCAATAGGGGTTTTTTTACCCACAAAAGCTTATGCCCAAATAAATCTGTTAGTCTTCAAGGTGCCACCGGACTCCTCCTCATTTTTCTTCATATATACCCTTTCAAAACCACAAAGAGTATGTGAATTGTTTGTATGCTATGTTGGACTTTAAACATTGTTGAAATCACAGTAATAGTAGATTGAGACACTTTTTTTTTCTGTATTATCAACTCTGAATTGTTGTTTCCAAGGCATCCTTATTACCAGAAAATTCTCCTACTTGTTTTCTCTCAGTGAATTATGAATGATTTAAGTAATAAATGATTTGCCCTCCATATTGAATCCAGATCAAATAGTCCCTGACTCCGAGATCAGCTAGAAGCAGATGAGTTCTCAGTTACCACAAGGAAAACACAAAGAGAAGGAAATAATAAAAGCTAGGGTAGTGTATACTCTCCATCCAGTTTACTAACTTTCCAAAGAAGAAAATGCATATGACAAAACCCAGCTAATTTATCTTGGATGGGGTCATTGAGGCTTGTTTGTTGCATGTACCTTTACAGGGATGAGTAGTTTACAACAAAGTATTTAGTAGTAATAATCTTATATTCCATTGTTTGGGGTAATGAAGGCTTGGGGCTAAGCAATCCTTCATGTTAAAGAACTTAAACTACTTCTTCGAGTGATTGCTCACGTGAAATCCAATAGGTGTGAGTGTGCCGCATGCACGATTGTCGGAAGGATTTTCTCCTAGCGGTACCTGTCAGGTCGGCTGTGGAGACCCCTGGAGTGGCGTCTTCATGGCGGTGTATATAAGTCCCTGCCGACCCGCCGCTTGCTCAGTTCCTTGTTACCACTAGTGACGGTCATTGGAGCAGCTCAGTCTCTTGCATTCGCAAGTGCCTACTTAGTGGTTCCCTTTTCTTAGTTGTAAATAGTTATTAGTTTAAATAGTAGTTTGTAGTTAGTTGGGCTTACTTTGGGGGGGCTTTCCCCCCGCCCTAGTTTCCCCAGGCAGTGGGGCATGCCTCAGTTGCAGGGGTTTAAGGCATGTGAGAGGTGTGCGAAACCTATGCCACAGGTGATCCGCACGCTGCTTGTCTCAAGTGCCTAGGAGAGGCCATCAGACAGAGTGCCCAAATTCACAGGAGCTTTAGACCCAGGACTGAGAGAGAGCGGGACTATCATTTTGAAGCTCCTCCTAATGGACTCGGCTCTCCGCCCCCAGGCGGCACCGGAAATGGATGCGGGATGTCCTGGCACCAAAAAAGGACTCCTCCAAGGAGCATCGGTGCTGTTACCCTTCGGTGCCACATAAGAAAAAGAAGGCGGATGGGGTCGTTCCCCTGACAAGAAGCCGTGAGGGGATTCCAGCAGGATGCATCCTCCGGCAGGACACCCACAGTCTGGACCTCAAGACCCGGCACCATTGACTCTGGCCCCAACAGGAGGCCCGTCGAGTCCAGTGCTGATGGGCTACCTGACTCGGGAGGATCTGGAGGAAGAGCTTGACTTCCCCTCCATGCTGGATACCTATGAGGCAGCGTGGGACCTCATTGCCATGATGGCGCAGTCCCTGGCCCCACAGGTGCAAGCTCCGGCACCGCTAGCCCAGGCACTGTCAGCGGCACCGGCTGCAGCATCTATCCTGGCACTGCATATGGCGACGGCACCCTTTGCGGCACTGATGGCGTCATCGCCCCTGGTTCATCATCGCGGCAAGCCCACGATGTTACGGCGCCACTCACCATCACCTTGGTATCGCTCCCCGGCACTGTCGGGCTCTGCCCCCTGTGATCAGGCACAGACTACTCATCCAAGTCAGGTGCTGAGTCTTCTGTCTCTCGACGCAGCCAGTACCGCTCCCAGCACCGCAGACCAGTGGACTCTTTGGCACCGGCGGTTGCTTGGCTACCCCAGTGGCATGGCCTTTACAACAGCCCTTCTGTACTCCTTGGGCCTACCGTCAGGATCAGGGCTCCAGGCCGGCATCGGCGGCATCCGCACTCTTGTCTTCCCCCGCCCCCCTGCACCACCACCACCTCCCCCATCGTCGCTGGCTCGACACACCCGCAGGGCTCCTGAGGACCCTACACGAGATAGGGACTCTGGGCTGTCACGCTCGGGCACAGCACCTGAACCACCGCCACCACCCTTCCAGCGATGGACACCAGGACCTTCTTAGCAGGTGGCCCAAATTACGTCAGATTGCTGGGTCCTGAGCACAGTAGGGGTGGAATATTCTATCCAATTTTGTTCCCTTCCCCATCCCTTTTCAGGGACCCTTCTCACGAACAGCTCCTTTTGCAGGAGGTGCAATTGCTCCTCGCTCTAGGGGTAATAGAAGAGGTTCCTCAGGAGTTCAGGGGGAAAGGGGTTCTACTCTGGCTATTTCCTCAACCCCAAGGCCAAAGGTTTGGCTCCGACTTATCCTGGATCTCAGAGACCTCAACACATTCATAAGGAAAGTGAAGTTTTGCATGCTCTCTCTGGCTGCCATCATTCCTTCCCTAGATCTGAGGGACTCTTACGCTGCCCTCGACTTGAAAGATGTATCCATTATCCCGGCCCAAAGACATTTCCTTCGCTTCGTGGTCAGTGGCCAGTACTACCAGTTCAGGGTGCTCCCATACGGGCTCTCGACGGCCCCCTGGGTATTCACCAAGTGTATGGTGGTCGTGACAGCCTTCCTCTGCAAACGTCAGGTGCAAGTGTTCCCGTACCTGGACGACTGGCTCATCGAGGATGAGTCACAAGCACAGGCTGCAGAGCTTGTGTCTTTGGCCCAGGCCACATTCTACAGGCCAGGCCTCATAATGAATGTGCCCAAATCCACACTAGCCCTGACGCAGAGAATAGAATTAATAGGGGCTCTCTTGGACTCCAGGCAGGCCGGGACATTCCTGCCTGAGCTGTGCTTCCAAGCACTCATGGAAATTATCGAAAACCTTAGCCGATTCCCCATAACCACGGCCGGAAATTGCATGAAACTGTTGGGGGATATGGCGGCCTGCACAGACGTGGTCCGGCACGCCAAGTTATGTCTTCGGCTCCTCCAGGCATGGTTAGCGCGGGTGCACAGGCCGGGCAGGGACCCACTGGACATGATAGTTACCCTTACCCCTCGCATTCTTGAGTCTCTCCACAAGTGGTCTGTGTGGGAGTACCCTTTGCCAAACCCCAACCTACGCTATCACTAGTCACGGATGCCTCAGCGCTCGGTTGGGGAGTGCACCTGGGCAATATCAGAACCCAAGGCCTATGGTCCCACACAGAACTATTGCTGCATATCAACGTAAGGGAGCTGAGGGCGGTTCGTCTGGTATGCCAAACATTCCAGGCTCGCCTTCAGGGCGCATGTGTGTTGGTGCTGACGGACAACACTGCAGCGATGTTCTATATAAACAAACAGGGTGGTGCTCACTCCTCTCCCCTGTGCCGGAAGCCCATTAGCTGTGGGACTTTTGCATCGCCCATTCAATACACCTAGAGGCGTCACACCTTCTGGGAGCGCAAAATGAGCTAGCCAATTGCCTCAGCCGCTCACTTCAGTCACAAATGGTCCCCCAGGCCGGACATCGCACACTCGATTTTCCAGAGGTGGGGCTTTCCCCACATAGACCTGTTTGTGATGCGGAACAAGAGGAAGTGCCAACGGTTCTGCTCTTTCCTGAACCCACAGCCCAGACTCCATCGCGGACCTCTTTCACCTTTCATGGATGAGTCACCTGCTGTACGCGTTCTCGCCCTTCCCTCTCATACACAAAGTCCTCCTCAAGACTCGTCGGGATGTGGCTTCCTTGAACCTCATAGCACCAGCATGGCCCCGCCAGCACTGGTTCACCGTGTTGTTGAACCTCTCCGTGGACAGATCAGTATAGCCCTTCCTGTGTGCCCGACACTCATCACACCCTACACGGTCTTTTATAAAGATAAAGTGCAGCAACGCCCTCACCCTGTGTTTCTGCCAAAGGTAGTCTCCTAGTTTCATGTGAACCAAGACACACTTTTACCTATGTTCTTCTCTAAGCCTCGTGCCAGTAACAGAGAGCACATGTTCTATTTCCTGGACGTAAGGCATGCCCTAGCATTCTGCATTGAGCGTACAAAGCCATTTTTTAAGTCACCACAGCTCTTTATTGCAATCGCAGAAAGGATGAAGGGGCTCCCAGTCTCATCCCAGTGCATTTCATCATGGATCGTGTCCTGTATCAGAACATGCTACAACCTGGCTAAAATTCCAGCCCCTCCGCTTATGGCGCACTCCACGAGAGCGCAGGCGTTGTCTGCAGCATTCCTGGCGCAGGTCCCTATTTATTGTTCCATAAGTAACTGAGTGGGATGTTTGAGACCATTGAAAGTAAAGTTTGATATTAACATCAGTATGTGATACACCTCTACCCTGATATAACACTGTCCTCAGGAGCCAAAAAATCTTACTGCATTATAGGTGAAACTGTGTTATATCGAACTTGCTTTGATCCGGCAGAGTGCGCAGCCCCACCCCCCTGGAGCACTGCTTTACCGTGTTATATCAGAATTCGTGTTATATCGGGTCACGTTATATCGGGGTAGAGGTGTATTACAAACTTTAGGTATCATTTTTTAGAGCAATGAAGTATCTATCTTTCTTTGTTTTGGTAACAACTCTTTTGTTTGGTTGTTTTAATATAGATGCTGGCATCACCATCAACATCAGGTCAGCTGTCTCAATTTGGGGCAAGTTTATACGGGCAACAAAGTAAGTACTCTGTTTATTACTGATATGCTTCTTTTATGATGTATGCATGTTCATTTTTACATCTTGAGGGAGAATATGCATATCGTTTTTTCTGTTAATTACATAGGAGAGGTTGCATGTCTTTTTATGTGTGTGACCTGTGCAAGATACATTTTAGATCTGGGTTAGTAGGTTTTTATGCATTTGCCATGATTTGATGCTCTACAGTTGCTAAATAAATATCACCTAAAATATTCTATAGTTAAACACAGTATAAAGAATATCTGTGGCTTAGCCATGACTTTTAAAAAGAAAACGAAAACAATGGGCCAAAATAAACCTAGTTTTCTGAAGAATAGATACAGAATCAAGTGAACAGCTTGATCTGTAATGTGGTATTGTATACCCACAAAAGGCAAATTGATTCACTTCTAAAAGTTGGTCATTCTTAATTCGGTCTGTAATATGTGAGGTAGTAAAGCTGGGGAAAATATTCGCGGTTAATAGTTATTTTCCCACCCTCCATTTCTTCCTTTTTATCCTGCAGCTGCTAAAAGTTTAAATTAGCAGGTGCAGAAAGACTAGTTGTGTGCTCTACAGAAGGATTTTAAGTATTTTACCACCTCCTGATTAGACTTGATTGGAATTTTCTAGCAAGTTACCATTGTCGGCAGACACTGTATATAAAGTATCTTCTAGGATATTTTAGTAAGTGACTTTTTTAGCTGGACAGAGCAAGAGTATTGTCTCTTAGAAGATGCAGTCTTTCTGATACAGTATTTAATTTTCCTTTGAATAACATTCAGGCTCTTAATAGTGAGAGTGGTTGTCCCTTAGACTGTTGATGAGTAACAGTGTTAGACCTACTGGTACATTCATTCCAATGATGAATTTTCTTTAAATCCATTTCTAGGAAATCTGAGAGGGAAGCTTTATGCTCATTTTTGGGGCCTTAATCTGGCATTGTTGAGCCTCTTTTACCCTCCACTATCTTTATAGCTTGGGGCTGTAGCTATTTTTGTACCTTTTTATCCATTGCAATTGTATTCCTTAGGCCCATTGAGAGCTGGTCCACACTAACCCCCCACTTCGAACTAAGATACGCAACTTCAGCTACGTGAATAACGTAGCTGAACTCGAAGTATCTTAGTTTGAACTTACCACGGGTCCACACGCAGCAGGCAGGCTCCCCCGTCGACTCCGCGTACTCCTCTCGCGGAGCAGGAGTACCAGCGTCGACGGCGAGCACTTCCGGGATCGATTTATCACGTCTAGACAAGACGCGATAAATCGATCCCAGAAGATCGATTGCTTAGCACCAGACCCGGAGGTAAGTATAGACGTACCCTAAGTCACCCAGATGATCTAATACATTTTTCTTAACAACCTAATATTTCGATCAGTTCTGGCTGTGATGCCTAAAGTGCAATCTAGCTTAAGTGAAATCATGCTTAAAGTAGAAACTAGAAGGTCATATTAGAACAGTCTTCTGTTTCTTCCCGAAGTCTGGAATGCCATGCTTGGGACTAGATGATGTTTAACCATTAAAATGTTGTTTGGAAGAATCAAAATTGATAATGCCAACATACCTAGAATTGGAGTAGTGGCATCTGCTTCATTATCCATCTATGTATGTGTCTCATTCTGGAAAGGGGTGACCAGATCCAGATTATTGTAAATCTGAGTTAAAGAAACCCAATTTCCAGGCACAAAATTAGCTTTTTACTTTCTTCTCCAATGGTCAACCGAAGTCATTGCCTATTAGAAGTAATAACAAGGGAAAGTGAAAGAGAGAGAAAAATAGATTTCAGCGGTCCATCCACAAATTTACAATGAGACTTGAAGGATCAAACTCCATCTGTTTACATATATTCAGATATAAAAAAATATTCTATAGTTGGCAACTGCGGAGAGTTCGAATATTCACTGTGCAGGCCAGCTGAAATCTATTTTTCTCTCTCTCTCTCACTTTCCCCAGAGAATGCTTCCTATGTTTTGCACTGTGAGGTCAATTTCTAAATCAGTTCCTTAGAGATCTACTTTACCACCCTGCTGCCAAACCAGTGGACCAGTTATAAGGAATATTTTTTTAGCTGCACTGTTATGTATGCTAGTTTGGTTTCCTGATATATATTACATGAAATTTCCTTTTTATTGTATCTGGACATAATCCTGAAATTTTTTTCAAATTTAAATAGAAAAATTGATTTGTGAATCAGAAGAAAGACATACACAACATTTTGAAAATGTCCTCAGAAAACAAAAGCATTTCTTCACAGAGTATTTTTTTGTCATAATTGTTTTAAATAATGTGAATTTCCATTTTTATTTGTCTTTCATGCTGAAATGCTTTCTTTATTTGCTGTATACACCCACACACTTATGGTGAATCATTTGTGTTGAACACAATAATATTGAACACGTAGTATGGCATTCACAATGATTTTTATTATATTAGTGGACAGTTAAAAAATCTCACTTTTCTCTTATTTCAGAACATTAGACTTAAGTTAATTACAGATACTGAATTTCTATGGTCAAGAAGAAGCACTTTATACTTGACAGAGAACAATTCTAAAAAGCATACTATTGAAAACTAAATTATTAATATTTGTATTAAAGAAGTTTGTATTGTTTTGCATGAGCTGAAATAGTGTTTTCAACACAGGCCAAGTGTGTATCCGCTTATACTTTCTGAAAATGTATCTTCTAATTAATTTTACATAAATTTAAATGTACTGTATTTAGTATAAAATAATTCTAAATTGTGTAATTAGCCCATTCTAAAAATAGCATTTATCTTATGTTGAGGGGGTGGTCCAATTACAACTATTACTCTTTGCCAAATACATATTTTTCTATTTAATTATTAAGTGTTTTTAAAAATGAGTCTGATTTTTTCCTACTTTCATTTTAAAAATGCTCTTATGAAATGCGTGTGGACTCAGCCAAATATGTATTATTGTTAATTCTTACATAAAAAGCTGTTTGTCGTAGCTTTTTAGAAGATAAACATGATGCCAACAGATGACCAAAAAAGAAAATTCTTAAAAACAAGATTGTGAGACACTTTAAAGAAGAACATTGTCTTGCTTATCGCTTATATAATTAAAGTTTTCAAAATACAAAATGAGAGTCAAGACACTTGTTTATACTGTTCCTTCAGTTTTAAAGCTATATTTCAGTACTGAGTCTAACAAACCAGTTGGAACATAAAACCTGCAAATTACTGATACAAAAGTAAACCTATAACGCTTACTGTAGAATGCAAATATCAATGGAAATGCAATTTTGGTAGTGCTTGTCAAATACAAAAAGCTTTCAAATAAAAAGCCTTTTTTCTGAAAATTACAAAAAGACAGCATATTTGAAATAACTGAGCTTAGATCATGTAAATAAGGACTTAATTTTTTCACTGCATTTTCTTGCAGCATTACACTAATATTTTTTTAGATTGTCAAATTAGATTAAGTTCCCTTCTACACTGGATGGATAACAGTGATTGCCTGATTGCTACATATTTCCACCCCTCTGAATTTTTTTTCAATAGGTGCACTAGGCCTTCCAATGAGGGGAATGAGCAACAATACCCCTCAGTTAAATCGCAGCTTATCACAAGGCACTCAGTTACCGAGCCACGTAACGCCAACAACAGGGGTACCAACAATGTCACTTCATACACCTCCATCTCCGAGCAGGTATTTATTGGTAGCTGATATTTCTGCAATTGCTTTTTTTCTGCAGAGCAGTTTAAGCATATTTTACCTAAACTACTTTACATTATAGTTAATAAAAAAGAAAAATATTTCCTATTATGGATCACTGCCTGTGTTGAGGAAAATATTTGTAATACGCTGTTTGTATGTGTAAGGATAGTGTTCACTTGCAAATTCTGTTGCGTGAACACAAGACATCATTTGACTGCTTTGGTAAATGTTTGGTTAAAATTAGATGCATGTTATACAGCATTCAGAATATCAAGGGGGTAGCACAGAAGCACTAATATTAAAAGATTTTATATATCAATTGATTTAGCTATATGGTGTTTTCACACTCATAAGACTTTTATTTCACTTCAAATATTTTTTATAAGTATTCTACACTAGACCTGACCAAGGATTTGTCTAGTCTCATTGTATAAAGGAGCATGTGACTTTTCTAAAGAAACCTAAAACTCTGTACCATTTACTGAAAAGTAATTGCTTAGAATAAATGATGTGCCATATTGAAATTATTCATAAATCTAGCTTGACAGCCTAAAAAATTGATTATTCATTTCAATTCTATACTGAAGTTGAACAGTATTGTATAGGTTCAACTTTTTGGATGGTTTTATCTCTTTCAGGGGTATATTGCCTATGAATCCTAGGAATATGATGAACCACTCCCAGGTTGGTCAGGGCATTGGAATTCCCAGCAGGACAAACAGCATGAGCAGTTCAGGGTTAGGCAGCCCCAACAGAAGCTCGCCTAGCATAATATGTATGCCAAAGCAGCAACCCTCTCGACAACCTTTTACTGTGAACAGGTAAGACTGATTTGGTCAAGGTATATACATGCAGGTATGGGGATGTTCAGCAGCATTCCTGAAATAAAAATCTAGTTTTATCCATTATTTTAAAGTTTGAAGTGGTGAATTCTTACTGCCAGGAGACTGTGTCTGCTTTGAAATGTACATAAGATTCTCTTGATTGAAGCCTTCAAACTAAATTTTGCCTGGCCACTGTCATTCACTACTGTTCCTGCAAAAATACATATTTAAACAGTTGTTTTTAAAGTGCAAGTTGGGGTTTTCTTTGTGCACATTTTAACTTTAGTGCTGGTTATAAGTTACATTAAATGCACTTGGAAAAAATAAGGCAAGAATTAAAAATATAATAGTTCTTTGAGAATTGCCTCTGTAGATTCACATGCTTTTGGAGTCTTGCGCCTCTGTGCTGCAAGCCACGCAACCATTTGGAAAGCATTGACTTGCCCTCCTGTAGAGTTGAGCATTCCTTGCAAACAGCCTCTGTTCCTTTCCTTCCACTGTAGGCATAGGTCTCAGAATCATCAATCACTTAACAGTAACACAATGCAAGATAAGATATGTTTGGTTTATATTGATTTTGAAGTTCTGTTTATATAGACAGTTTAAAAGAATCATAACTGTAGTTTGGTTATAACTGCTTTTCCACACCTTATGGTAGTATGTCCACCCAATGTCAGTGTTCCCAATCCCCACCTTTTCTTCATTTAAATCTCTCTGTACTGTTTGCAAACTAACTCATGTCAGTCATATGCCTTCTCCAACCCAACATTATGTAAAAAAAGAATGAGAGGGAGAGAAATTTTAAAATAATGTTTTTAATCTCTTAGTTTGTGCAATTCCTATCCACTTCAAGAAAAGAAGATCTTGCTGATCTCCTCAGCCAGCCACAGTAGGGATTTGGCAGCAGTAGTTCAAATCCCTGCCTTGTGGCATGAGAGGGGTCTTTTGGTCCTCTCACTCTATAGCAGAGGTGGGCAAATTATGGCCCGCGGGACCGTCTGGCCCGGCCCCTTTGCTCCCAACCAGGGAAGATAGCCCCCGGCTCCTCCCCTGCAGCCTCAGCACGGCGCACCGCCAGTGCTCTGGCCCATTGCTCCTCCTGAGCAGCATGGTAAGGGGGCGGGGAGCGGGGGGGTTGGATAAGGGACAGGGAGTCATGGGGGGCAGTCAGGGGGCGGTTGGATGGGGTGGAGGTTCTCTGGGTGGGGTGGTCAGGGGGACGGGGAACGGGGGGGTTGGATAGGCGTGGGAGTCCCGGGGGGG